TGTAATAAGGCTATTRGTTACTTATCCATCTTGTGTTTTTAAAGACTCCAAATTTCTGTTGTAAAATCCTACAAGTGGAGGAATTTTGAACTGTGACAAGAAAAAAGGTGTTGGTGACTTGAGGCAGAGTAGAGCAGGACTATTCTAGGATGATTTTGCTTTTGTGGGAACCTGATACAAAACATCCTGCTCAGGGGAAAAGTAACAAAAGTGAATATGCACGTGAGAGTCTTCTTGTAACTCATATGTCAGTGACAGATGGAGATGCAAGTTAATCTAAATTCAGTGTAAATTAAAATTTCTTAAGAAATTTGACTTATGAATTTTTAATTTTGTGATTCAGCCTCTTTGTTCTTTTACCTCAGATACATTTTTTGATGGTGAGGTTTTGTTTAAGCACTGATTTAAGAATGGGGAATGAAGTAACCCACTACTAGTGAAGAGCTGGTGCACACGGTAGTTAGAGCAAAAAGTACCTTCAGTGACCTCTGAAATACTAATTCCTAAGGTGTGATAGCTAATGCTAATGCACTCATAGAAAGACCTGGGTCATATGTTAATAATTAATCCTGAACTATGGGAAGTCTAGAAATCTTTCACCTAAGACTCTGGAAGGAAAGAGGATGAATACAGGTTTGCTGAGTAAACAARCTAAGTCTGTGGAAGGAGAGACTAATCTAGAATGTTCCAATGAACATGTATAATTTACATTGTTGTAAATTACAGATATTATAAATATATACAGGTTGTAGGGGATGTAGAGGATGCTACACTTCTTCCATTTGTGGGTAGAACTGGGAAGCTGGGAGATTGGAAACAGGGACAGGGAGCCCTTGTGTTCCAGAGTCTGGTTTATATAACACAGAAACTACTTTTACTGTAGTATTTCTTAATGCTCTGCCAGCAGTGTTGCTTTGAATCATGAGAATCCTTAGCACTAAATTAACCCAGGGCACATTAATCCCTGAACCTGTCTTGACAGCTGTGGTAAGGCAGTGGTGATTTTTATGTTAAAAKATGAAATACATTCAACTTGCTCCTGTTTAGCAGTTAGAATGTAACATCTCTTGGTATTTTTCCCCCCCTGATTTGGCAATCTGAATTGTCAAACCACAGATGTGATTTTTATTTAAATTCCCTTTTAGAAGGCAAGTGATGGCTTTTAAGTGGTAGGTGTTCTGTGCTGACTTTGTACAGAAAAAAATGCTGACTCAAAGCTATACGGTGGAGTTGTTAAATTATTACTTTCTGATAAATGATAAAATGATTGTTTTGAGTTTACTTCAATATTAATTTTAGAGTGATTGACAAAATCTTTTACATCTTTCAAATTGTCCATCTGCTTGGATGTTCCTTRCCTTATTGTGAGGGGAAATGGGTGATTTTCACAAATACAATAGAGTACACTTAAGCTTACCACTCTGAGGTTAGTGTACTTTACTATATCTTAGCCTGTTAACCATGCCTTTTAATCTATTCTGCTCTGGAGAGTACTTTGATACATCTAAGAGGGTGAATGTTTTAATTTCAAATTGGCTAAAGCCTGGGGTTTTTTTTTTCTTTTTGTTTTAAATTCATTCCAGTTTTGGATGATTCCAGTTGCCATTAATTTTTCACATTGATCTGAATATTGCCAGTAGAAATTAAAATACAACCTTTTCAAGTTTTCATTTTGAAAACGTACAGTAACCAATCAATTTATGATCTGGTTAAGTGATCCTGACTGGAATCATGGCTGGAAAAGAAGGATSCTTTTCCAGTCTGCTGCAAGGAGGTACTAAATCAAACAGGCTGTTTGGGAACAGACAGGCTGCTGTTCTGAAAGGTAAATAAAATATGTGCTGCAGGTGCAGGAGTTTTTTGGGTAGTGTGCTCGGCTGTCTTCTGCCAACAACTACTCAGACATCTCTAAGTGTTCCTATTGTTCCACGAGTGCTACTGTGATCTTTCATCTGGAATGGTTGGAATTGTGAGACTTGTTCTGTTCTTCTCTGCTACCTTTTGAATTGTCTTTTGTCTCTTTCGGGTTTTGATCAAACAAGATGATCTTTGTTATGCATGTTCCTGTCTCAGCAGGGCTAAGACTGGTAGAAGAAAAKCCTTTCATGACAAGTTGTGACTTCAGTCTCTGCCTCAGTGTACTGACTGAAAATTAGTGTCAAAATACTTTTGAAGGGTGTTCTTTCATTTGTGGTGTGAAAATACAACAGGCGACAGATCCAACAGAAGAAGGGAGGGACGTGTAAGTTGATTTCAATTTTCTAAATTGAAAATTGAGTTATTCTGCCTTGGGCAAGGAGAATCCTCTTCAGTGCTTTACCTTGCACACTGCCAATGTCTGCAGGAGCTCTGCAGTGCCAGCTGGGCTGGGGTCTCTGAGAGCCTCAGTGCCTCAAAACTCAGAGCTCTGCACAGCCATGCTGCTGATTTAACACAGGATTCTTTGATTTATGGAACAGAGCTGTTCCCTCCTGCAAGGGAAAGGATTGGATTTCCAATATGACAGTGAAAAGTAGTAGGATTATAGGATCAGTGTGGGAACACTTGTGTTGGAGCTTATGAGCTTGTCTGCTGTGAACTGTGTGTTTAAAGACTGCTGATTACTCTGAGCTGAATGATGGCACATTTTATACAGATCTTTGAAAATCACATACAAGTATGTCCTCTAAAATTTTCCCTTAAGAGGTTGAGATTTGTTTATCATGGCAATTATCTATGYATTTAGAGAGAAAGTGTTGATACTAAACTGCTAAAGCTGAAGCATTTGRAGATCTCTTCCATGATCCTGAATTTTTAGCATAAACATTCTGCTTACAATTTTTGTGCTGTCCAAAATGGAAGTCAGGCTTATTTTCTGAAAGATCTCTTTAACAGAGGGATTTTCATGCTTAAAAAKGTTAAATATTTGTTTTTCCCCTCGTCAGATTCTGAAACTTTCTTTCAGTAGAATTGAAGTAAAAATAATCAACTGTGAATCTTGTTCTCTTTTTTGCCTGTCTCCATGGTAGTGATTTAAGCTGGTATGTCCATCTCARTCTTCGTAACAGTGCCATCCTTTTTAAATGTGAGCTGTTTTAATCCTCAGTGCTGAGATTCAGACTGTACCCAGACTTGGATGGCAGCTTCTGCTCTACTGTGTAGTAGTTGGAGCAYTCTGCAATGTGTTAGAAAAAGAAGGTTCTAATGTGATTAAGACTTATTTATGATTTGTTTATTTTGTGCATACAGAGAAATAGGTCAATGTAGAGATTTTTTTTTTTTAACATGTAGGAGATAAGAAATTTCATTCTCTCTTGGGAGAGAAAAATTTGTTTCATGGAAGTATTAACTATGCTTCAACAGGAACATGCATCTCTTGTCAGATTTCTGAATTTAAGGCAATAATAAAATAATCAAATTTAAAATTCTAGACAAACTAGTGAGACTCTAGATATCACATCTCCTTTTGCTAATATACAACATGAAGTGTTTAAAAAATTTGACTAATGCATGCAGGTAGCATGTGAAAAAATACTTATCACAGGAGAGCTGTACAAGTTATTTAGGGTCTCCGAAGAAGGGAAAACAGTCCACAATTCAAGGAACTTTAGTTAGTAAACAAAGTTTACTCCAAAATATGGAACAATGGAATAATGAAACATAATAAGTGTTAGACACTTTTCCCAGAAGCTTACATGCTAGATGATACATAAAGCTTTCATTTCTCTAGCATGTCCTTTTTTCTTCTTTGTTTCCCTTAGCAGACCAAAACATCCATTAGTGGATTCTAATCGTGCATCCGTTATGTTCTCTTCCTCATTAACCTGCTCTGATGATTTGAGATTGCTTGCTTTTTAAATGCAAGACTTCAGAGAAACTCTGATTGGATTTTAACAGTATTCACTAAGAAAAATGTCTTGGGGTACATTCCATTAAATTTAATTGCTGCCTCTCTTGCTGTGCCTTTGTTAAGAGCATTGTATGACTTGGGAAAAACAATTTGAGTGTGTGTAGTGTTCTARGCTGTTGTTGAGACTGATTTGAACAGAACACATGGATGTCTACATATTAAGAACTTGACCTGGAAATAAAATATTTGGAATTTGTACATTTATTTGTGTAGTAATGACAGGAAGCCCCTTGTGTATAAAAGGGTTCAGTAGTATGATCCAGACTTCAACACAACTACTATTGCTGCAAGTACATGGTCTGGTAGTCGTTCATTTCAGTATCTGTTGGAGGCCTCTTTCTAGCCCTGTAACACCTTGAAAGAACATCATTTGGTCAATTGGCCAATCTGACATCCACAAAGCAGAGATATCCTCCAAATGTTCTCACTTGAAGTTATTCAATGATAATTTCTTTTGTTGGTTGGTAGTGAAATGATGTATTGTGACTTTTATTTTAGGAACAATATTTATTTTAGCRGTAAAAACTGTGATCCATGTTTTGCTGTAATACTTATTGAACAGTAAAACAGTCTCTTCTTTGAAGTAGTGAGCAACATAAAAAAAAAGAACATTTATTATTGAACATTTATGTATTAGTCTCCTCATATCTAGAGTAAGACTTGCTAAYAGGAAGTTTTTAAAGTTACTGTGAGGTTTTGGCTCTGATGAAGGGAAAGCAGTGGTAATGGTGTAAATGCTAATATTTAGCACAGCTTACCRTGACTGAGGGCTAAGGGGTTCCTGTAGAAGATGATTGGTAATACAATAATCTGCTTTTTGAGAGACCTTTTATAATGCCAGTAACAACTGGTTAGATTTGACTGGTTTCATAGCCACTGGCAGAAAGCTGAGCCCTCAGTGCTGCTCATACTGATTAAAAACTTTTATATGTAGTTTGGTAATGGGAGATCTTTTAATTTGTTAAACAKTTTTAGTCTTTTCTAGCTCTGCTGTAAAAAACTTCTGGCTAGAAATGATTTGTGACATACAGAACTGGGTAGGAAAGATTTAGAAAATGGATTCTAAAAAAGGGTCATTATCATTAATTTAAATTTGTTTCTAACATTTCAGATTTTTCTTCTTGCCTGCCCCCCATGTCGGACTGCAATGATTCTCTTCAGGTAATATCTCTTCCTTACTGTATTTCTGCCTACTTGCACAATGTATTTTAGAAGTTAATCACTACTTWAGTTATAAAATATTAAGTGAAATATTGAGTTGGAAAGATATATTGGTTGGATTGAGAAATGACCTTGAAAATGGTCAGGGCTTAAATTAGGGTGTTGGGCCCATTATCCTTGGTTCTTGTGTGCTGATGGGTTTGGCCTCAGTTATGAACAGGAATTAGCTCAGTAACAGTGGAGTTAATGTAGATTAATGTATGAGCTGCTGTAATTTGTGTCATGGGCCTCGAACCTTCTTACCATCCTCAGTCAAAATTAGTAACTGGCCCTCACTGGAGGCCATGCAGGCAGTATGGGTGTAATTTCAAAATTGTGGATAGGTAAAATTAAATAGGGGAAGTAAATTCTCACCACCTTTGTTATATATTTCTCAAATCTGTGCAGTCTTCTCCAAAATACTGCATACAGTTCATGACTGCAGGAACCAGAGAGGCTCTGTTGGGCTGTAGCAGCAGAGCCCTGTGTGCWGCCAGTCAGGTGTGGGGAGGCTCGGGGACTTCTGGCAGTGGCACTTGGGAATGGCTGTCATTGCCACCGTGGCATTAAACTCTGCTCTTCCTTGTTTTAGTCTAGGCAGCGATGATGCTGGGGRAATGCCTCATGCAGTCTGTCTGCAGCTTTTCCCTGCTGTTCCTTACTTGTGCAGGGATTCTGCTTAACAGAGACCCTGTATTAGCATCTTAGTCTTGGAGCGTGTGAAAAGTGTGTCCAGGAAATCTTTGCTAAAGGCCAGTTGTAGAGCAGAGGCCACTATATTTATTGTTGTTCAGAATGGGTATTTCTATTTTCTGACACACTGGCAGCATATAAATTATGTTTGAAAATCTGTTTTAAAATTGTAATACCTTTTCTCCTCCCTCAAGTTACTTTAAAATTCCTAGGAGTTTGACAGTCAGTGGTGGGAGACGGTTTATCCTTTACTTTGTGTCTGATGTAAAGTAGACTAAAACAGCTCTGATGCTAATTTTCTGTTCCTGTGATCCAACAGTAGTTCAGAAAAAGATGGCTGAAAGCTATACAAAATACAGTGTATAATACTACTTTCCTGCCTTGTGCTTTGCTTAGGACTTGCTGTTGCAGTTTGTCTTTTATTTAAGGGACTTCTTTCCAATTCCTGAAGCTTTACTTTGAAGCTGTACATGCACAACATTAAACAGGAGTAAAACCCTTTATCAAAGATGCTATTTTAAGCTCTGGAAGACAAGTGAACAGCAGAATTCCAATTATTTAGCAGCTTGCATCATGAACAGGATTACGGGCAGTCCAGGCTTTCTAGGAATCCAAAGCTTATTATAGAAAGCAGTTCTACTTTAGGAGATTCTTTAAGAGTGTATTTAAAGATAGGTTTTTGTCCAGGTTATTGCATTTAACAGTATCTCATTGTATTTAATAGTGACTTAATTAGAATTCAAGCCAAAAGAATTTTTCAAGTGTCTTTCTGCTTTTTATTGAAGAGATTCTACATAAAAACATGTTACTATTGCATTTTATTTTCATCTGTGACAATGTCCCATCTCTTTTCTAAGGTTGCAGATGCACATGCTGAATGGGGCCCTCTTAGCGTTGCTGTTTCCTGTTGTTAATACACGCCTGGTGAGTGTATTGTGGTTTTCCTCCTCCTCTTTATATCTAAAARATTTTCATTTGAGAGATGTCAGATGTTTGCTTTGCTCGGCCTTCCAAAGTTCATTTTACCAGGCTGTAGATTCCTGGTTGCTACAGTGGAGCCACAATACCAGTCTTGGGCTTTTGGGGTGTTTGTAACTCAGTGTGAAAAGACAACACTGCTGTATTGCRTGTTAGTTCCTTTCTAGCCATTAATGGAGGGAAAATTTGATGGCTTTGAAACAGGCTTTCACAGGTTAACCTTGTGATCAAAATTCAGTTTCGGAGTTTTCAGAGTCTATGTAAATGTAAGATTCTTCAGGCCTGGAAAATGCCAAATGTTGTTGTTGGCTGTCATTTCTTCTCCCCCAAGATTAGCCACRGCAGATTTCTTTTTTCCCATGCAAGTTTCCAAATCTGCTGTAAAATTTCAGTCTCCTGGACAAAAAATTTAGCCTGTTCCTAGTGAGATTCTCAAACCCATTGAGAGTTAAAGGTAAAAAAAAAACTATTTTGAGTGTGAGTTAAATGAAATATATCCAAGGATTATGGATAACATATGTTATTCATACATATGTAGAGGGGATATATATGTGTATGCACAGATGACTAAATGCTTTTAATTTTTTTCATATGACTTGTCTGCAAAAATCTGTTCTTGCAGTTATTTTAATGTCTGTTTTAAGTTAGCTACAAGTACTTAATATTTAAGCAAACTATGTCCATGATAGAGGGTGAATTAATATTATGAACAAAATTGTTGTGGACTTCAGACTCCATTCCAGATCTTGTTGGTAGCTCTCCATTTGCAAATCTTGACTGTCAAGCGTAAGTTTATCCTTAATCTTATTTGATGTGCAGTTTGCAATTACATTTTATTAAAACTCGGTGCTGTTGAATAGGCAATAAATGAATAAAATGAGGKATTTTCCTGATAATGATAACTCTTCATTTTGTATTTGAAGCCATCTAGTTTTTAAGTAAGTACAACGCTAGGCATGACAAAATTGTTCTGGGTAACCTTTGAAGGAAAAAATGTTGAAGTATTTAATAAMTCATTAGCTTGTATTTTCCCTGCCATTATCACAGATCTCATTCATGGTAGGGCAGTGGTGATTAAACAAGAAAAATACARACTAACTATAAAATTGTCCCTCTAATTGGGAACAGAGGAGCCAAAAGATAATGTCCAAAAGTAAATATTTTTGGAATAACTACAACTTAGGATATTTTTGGGCCTAACATCTGCTYGCCAGACTTTTTGCTTTTCTGTGTTTCTTCTGGCACAGGATAATGTGGGTGATGTTGTACAGCACTGCCTTGGTCCAGATTCTCTCATGGCAGATGCACATTCTGCTCCACAGCTCTYACTGTGGTTGCTAACATCAACATTGTCCTGAAAGCAGGGAATGTGTRGCAGGAAAAACCTAATAGGAATTTAAAAAAAAACAACTCAATAATCTTGTCTGAGCTGGCTGCTCTGGTTTTATAGTATCCAAGTGAAAAACTTCCCAAACAGTCATTCAGAATGAGGGACAATCATTGCTTCAGCAGATGATGGATACTTTGGTGGGTTTGGTTTGGATTTGGGTTGTAAGAATTAACCTGTTAAGGTAATTTCCAGGAACACCTCTTACATTTTGTGGCATAGTCTGTTAGAGTCATGTGGTTTTGCTACCAATTACATTACTTAATGCATTATATTCTTCTTGTATATATGCTTCAGTTCTAAATTATCCTGAAGTGGAAGCTGCTGGCATAATTTCACAACTTCCATTTCCTTGTAATGTATCTATTAATTTATTTTTGGTGTTTTTTTAAAACCTCAGTAATTTCAAAATTCTTTTAAAATAGTAGTATTTTAAAAGACAGTGGAAATAGAGTTATTCACTGAAACTACAGTAGGAACTTTCTACCTTCTGTCACTGTAGTCTTTCACTTAAACTATGCAGTTAAAAATCTTGTTGGACTATAAAGGGCACCTGGGATAGTGTTCAAAACAGTGTGGCCTGAAAGATGAGGTCARTCTGTTCTGTTCTTTCCAAGAAAATATTTTCCTGCCTTGGCATGATGTTGAGGTGCCAGCAATTAACAGACTTAAGCAACAGATGCACCCACTTGTATTTGTTTGGCACTTAAATACTGCAGTTAATTGCTGTATTGCTATTTGCTGATGGAATTAAATTCTGTGCATTGGAATAGGCACTGGATAAAGATAAAASTGTTTCTTCTYTAGTCAGCTCTTTTGTGAGTTCTTTTTACCCTTTCAGAAATAAAGAGGTGCTACTGAGGGAATTGGTTTGTTAGGCTCCCAAGTGGGAGCCAGCAAGGAMTAAGAGGATATACAGGAGTAGAAAGATCTTTGTACTTATATTCTGTGGCACACACTGTAGGTCCTGATAACCTGGCTGTGCATGTAAATTCATTTGACTGCCACAAAGGCTCCAACTGTTTGGAAACGAACGTGGTTTGCTTGAGCTTTCATATTGCATTAATCAGATTTTAAAGGAAAGCCTTTTATTGGTTTAAAAGTGGGGATTTTTTGCAAGCTGATGTCCTGAAAATGTTGATATAGATAAAGTAAAAAACAGGACATGTCCCAAAGGTGTTGGACACATGGGTGTCAGCTCACATGGCTGAGGTGGTGCAGTTTTGATATTTCCAGAGGCTGCTATATTCTATTATTAGARCTATTTGGCCTGAGAGGTACACATTCTAAATCTGTGTTAGGAGCAGAACCATACTCTGAGCAGGACTTTGAGTACATTCTGGGTATGCTCCAGTCATCAGCTGCTGTATTGTTTTTGATTGTTGTACTAATAATTCACTGCACAGAATAGTTTGCCTGCACAGCAAAATGGAATAGGTTGTGGTAGCACACTGTCATCTCTRAACTGGCTTAATCTCACTGGCACAAGGGAAAACAAAGGAACAGTTGGGGGCTGCTGAGAGATTGTGCTTGGGTAGCTGATAGGTTACAAAGCCAAGGTTTTTGCATATTTGGGCAGTTGTACATGCTRTACAYGCTGTGTGCATTRAATGGTATGGGTSTGTTACTGATAAGGTCTAAGAAGGTGGCTGGTACARTTCAACACTTGGTGTTTGCTAAGCTGTGTGCTAGATGTGTTACAGGACAGACCAGAATCTGGGAGATGAATTCCTTCTATTCCTTTTCTGCCACTCTGCAGTCTTTGTAGAGAATGATGGAGGAGGTGCTCTTGGCACAGTACAGTGCTTGAGCCAGGATATAAATAATTAACAGAGGGAGGAGTGCTACTGTCAGAAAGCAGAGCAAAGTGTTAACCTGTGAGCCCACTGAAAACCAACCGCTGTGTCTGTTGAATCTAAATTAGTATTATGTTCATACTCTTTTGGGGGGAACTCATCTCAGTATCTGACAGCTGGCTCCACTCYACTGCTGCCTTGAAGAGATTTTTCTAAAGCTTAGTTTGGTGCATGGAACGACCTTGTTGTTCTCTTTGTGSAGTAGCTGGGTTAGGTTAGAACRTGAAGTCTTGTTTTCACCAAGAGGTTCTTTAAACCCTAGCTTGATGAGTGATCCCTTGTGCCTTATCTTAATTTCCAGTTTCTCTTTGCATGTGAAAGATGCTTATGCTATTTGAGTGAGTCTTTTATTGATGAAACTGTTTMTAGTCAAGCCACAAGATGCAGGTGAGTCAGTTGCTCAGTACAACTTTTTTTTTTCTGTTTGTTGTAGCCTGGCTGTACAACTTGAGTGCTTGGTTGTACACCAGCTCTGCAGCTCTATAGCAGGAAATGCACTTGCATAATCAGCCAGGCTTCAGAACAAGCCATCTTTTACAGTGGGAAAAAGATGTTTTGTTTTACACAGAAAAAAATACTGTCAACACTACTGCAGCACAACAACTGTYACTCTGTTCTCAGGAGTGTCCCAGCGCAGTGTTTGTGTAACAGACCCTCACAACTCCACGGCTGTGGAAGCCCTTTTGACACCACAGATAAATGGAGAATGCTCCTTGGCAGGAATGAGTGCCTCATGTTGTGCTGTTTATATCAGGAGCAATTGTTTCYGAAGTGGGGGAGGTATAGCTTTTTCTCCAGTTAGGAAAACTGCTTTAGCCCCATCCCAAATTATTTTAATTCCCTCACTTTGCTCTTTAGGTTGTTCAACAAAGCACAGCAGGAAAGGTTCAGATTCAGGAAACCTCACAATTTTCATGAAGTCCTTGCTTTTGCTTACTGTTACCTTGCTTGGGTTTGTTTTGTTAGAGGGTACTTGGAATAAAATAACCCAACAGATTGTATGGAAGGGTTGTTATAGCTTAGTGCCCCCAGGAGTTGGCTGACCACCTTGGAGGTTGCCATCAGGACAAAGACAGTGTCCAGGGTGGGAATGCCAGGACTAGCACAATCCAGCTATTTTATCTGTTTTAGCGTCTTCTTAATTCACAATAGGATTTAAGAATTGTAGTTGAATTTAAAAGATCACTATGTTATTTAACAACTGTTTGACTGCTGTTTAGGAAGAAAACCAAACTCTATTTCATCCTCTCTTCTGTTGATGTAGAAATTTCTGTACTGTGTCAGAATTATTGTTCAAATTATTTTTAAGTATTGTTTTAGCTGTCTGACTTCTCTACACTAATTCAACTAAACACACAAATGACTAATTGTAATTACTCAAAAGTTGGCAGCCGGTGGGAAATACATGATTTACTGCTAACTGGTAACTTGTTTACGCCTAATTCTGCAGCTTCTCTTTAAAACCAATAAATTACTGGGCATTTTATGTTTTAATTTCTATTTGGTCAAGCATGCAGATCGCTATGATTTTTGGCACAGGCCTCCTCAGTAATTACTTGCATATATGTATTGATATAGCCTCATATATAAAGGCTTCATTCATAAGAGTTCTGTTACAAGGTACCAAGTATCTTTCTAAAAAGACCTCTATTCTCTAGGGTGTGCATAATTTCTGGTTTGATTATTTGAGGGGTTTGCATTGTTATTGGTAATTTATGCTAGAAAAGAAAAGGAAAAGAGCAATCTTATGTTATTCCTTCTTTGTTGTGCTTCTGGCTAATTTTGGGAGACATCTGCTGGAAGTGGTGTTTGTTTTAAGGAGGATGGAATGGGTACAGTAAGCTGCACTTTCAAGGCACTGACCATTAATGTTTGTTAATACACATAGGTGCTAAAACAACTGAACTGAAGGCATTGCCATGGGTCAGAAAGAGAATTGTWTCTTATGACTCCTTTGTTAGCGATGAAAAATACTTATAAATATTTTCCTTATTCCACAGCTTCCATTCGAAATGGAGATTTATTACATCCAGCATGTGATGCTCTATGTTGTGCCCATCTATCTGCTGCAGAAAGGAGGTAGGTTGGCAGCTCACTCCATATGGATTGAACTGTTCCTGTGTAATGAAAAACTGTGCTTACCGGATATCACCAATTTTATTCTTACCCTTTAAAAACCAATTTTCTATATGGTTTTAATTAATAGTATCTTATGTTCTAATGTTGGAGTTTTAATGCAGAAAGCAAATTGTGTCAGGCATTGAGATGAACATTTTAAAAATGGTCTTTTGCCCAAATGGGTATTCAGAATGTGTTGGCATAATGTGCATTGTCTTCTTGAGCAGCATCTCTGCCATCTTGCAATATTCTCAGTTGTTGGTGGGATGTATTTTTAAAATTTTTACCTTCTTGGATGTCTCTTGAGAAGTATTGGAACTCAAAATGAGCAAAAAAAAATTGTATCCCTTGTAAATACTAGTTGACTAATTAGATAAAGCTCTAGTAAAATGTAGTGAAATGAGTGAAATGAGCTAGATTGCTTGTTATCTCTTCTAACAAGATTGCTGTCTTGCATTCACTTAATGCCACAACAGTTCAGTAAGTCTGGGAATCTTAAATTGTTCCCCTGGCCAGTGATTTTTCTAACTGGGTCCTCAAAGGGAATGCACTATGCATTCAGCTGTGATGCTCTGTCCCCACCTAGTGGTGACATGCCTTTAGCCGCATGTTCTGGCAGAGTTGAATTGTTCCATTAAGGCAATAAAATGTCATAATTTGTGGTCCACATGTTCAGTACCTTTTAGTGAAARCCCTGAGGATGTGATAGCAAGCAATGGGATGTGGTTAGCCCTTTCCTTCCATACTGCTGAATCCGTGGTATTTTATACCAGCAGTCACTTACAGTCCTTCACCCTTATTTCACTACAACCTTTGTGTAGCCGTGTCCTGATTGCACTGTGACCTGCTGAGTGCAACTAAAGCAAAAGGATTCAAATGAAAAGTGAACTATCATACTTCAAAAGATGATTCTTTCTCTTATCAGGGAAATCTGCCAGCCAGGTTTAATGYTCCACCCATGATACCCTAAAATTCTGGCTAATAATGCTAAAAGTGCAGTGTAGTTGTAGGAGTTACACAAACTCAATCTTTGCAAGATGAGGGTGAGGAGCAGGAGACAGAAAGCATGAACAGCCATGAGTGCACTGCAGGCAGAGACAAACAAAGCACTTGTGATGYCAATAAATCACTTGGTGGCCTTGCAGTTCCCATCTGAGGTCACTTAAAGACATTCATGTCCTTGACTTTAAGGTTTGGCCTTGGAATGATGCTTGATATGTTAACATTTAAGTTTTGGTTGGCTGGTGGGTTTGGTTTAGCTTTTTGTGTGTTTTGAAGTAGAGGTTCTCAGGGTTCCTCAGGACCTGGGGCCGACAAGGACTGGATTTGCAGTTTGAAGGGGTTTGGTGTTAGACACTGGTCACCCTCGTTCAGTGTTCTGAACTCCTGCCCTGTATTAACTTACAGGTATTTGCTGCCATCTAATGTTGATGTGATGGCAGTGAAATTGCTAAAAGAATTTTGTTGGCTAAACCTGTCAATTCAGATTGCTCTGGGCTGTGTAACTAGGCACTTCTCCATTTCTTACGCACTTGGCTCCTCATCTGACTGTAATTCATTAACAAAACACCCATGAACTGCTGCCACAGGTGACCAATGTATCATTTTGGATGGAAAAATTATGCAACCTAAAAACATTTGTTAATATTTTGTCACTTCACTAACACCTCTCTTTAAAGTACCTTCTAAGCAGATCACACAGGCCTTTGTCCCAAGTATATCTTGTGAAAATTGCTTTTTCATCGCTGACATTGATCAGCATGCAGCTTGATTTCAGTATTGTACATAGGAATTTCCATCAGTGAATCTGTAAATCATGATTAAGAAAAGTAATGGAAGGGTAGAAAATTGGAAAAATGAAAAGGAATGTATTGGATTTTGAAAAAATACACTATTTCATTTCATTTGGAAACTGCCTATATTACTGTGGCCTTAATGKAATCCAAATGTTTCTCAGAGACAGGGTGAGCAGAACAACTGAAGCAGAGTGGATTTGAGGCTCAGGCTGTAGAGAGCTGCACCCCCAAGCTGCTGACACCCTAATCAGGTGTTGCACCAGGCATGCACACACATCCAACTCCCTGCTTAAGTGTTCCTCTTCGAAAGGAAACTGGTGACAGTAAGCAAGGGCTGTAATAATTTATTTTCTGTCTTTCCCTGTTTATTACTGTGGTGTAGACTGGTCATGTTGCACTGGCAGCCTTCATGTCCCTCCTGACCCTGTAAATGTGGGGGCTTTACCACACTTAGCAGCACATGGAGMGAGAGGTTTCTGGAGCTCAGGCTTCAGTGTTGCACAGTGAAYTCCCTGGAGCTCTAGAYRTGGATCCCTCTTGGGGATTAAAACCTCTTCCTCTCTTTCTCTTCCCTCTCACTCCCTTACTGAGTGCATGTAAATTGCCATACTTCCTTTCTTGACATACTTTTTTTTCCAAGTCCGTATATGCATGCATACATACACATGTGTGCCAGGCCAGACAAATTAAATGCTTTTACACCATGGCTCATCTTTCTTGGCTGCACTAAGAGGCTCTCATGCAAAATAGATGTAGTGTGGATGTAGCCAGCACACAAGATGCCTACCTCAGGTCAATTCTTATGTAAAGTATATCTGTAGTTGCATTTCTATTTTTCGGGATGAATCTTACCTTGTGTCACCTGTGAATGCCTCCCAAAATTGCAGTATGCACCTGGGCAGGACACAGCATTCCAGACATAGCTGGGGCAGTTGATGAACCAGGCCTTGTAGGTCACTGTTTTCTCTTGTCCTTAGGAAGTGAGACTCTTAGAGACATTCAGCRGTGGTCAGGACAGCTTGATTTTTTGACTATATATTCTTAAGATAACAAAAGACAGTCTAGTTTGCACTACATCAGCCTTAGAGACTGRTGGTGATGACTGTTCCTGACTGTCCCAGTCCTGAAGCTCTTTTGATATGTTTTCAGATGAGTTTGACAAGATTAGGTGTGCACCTTATTTCAGAACTTAAAATAATATTGAAAATTAATCAAGGTGGAATTATTTCCTTAGTGCAGTGAGCAAATGATATTCCAAATTACATTATTCCACAGCAGATTGACATAAGGATGAACTTGTAGCAGCGGAGTTCAGGACATAACGTGCCCGGTGTTTTGCCCTCTCTAGCGTTGTTTATTCGAATTAATGACTCCAGTACACACAAGAGGCTGTCGGTGCCGAGGTGGTGCCGGATCCTGGGGCTGCAGGGAGCGATGTGCTGAGCGATGTCCCTGGAATTCGGGGTGTCCCCCGGGGCTGCGCTGCGGGGCGCGGCCGGCAGGGGGAGCTGCGCGCCGCCCGTCCCGGCTCCGGGGGGGAAGGGAAGGGAAGGGAAGGGAAGGGCCCGGGTTTGGGTTTGGGTTTGGGTGTGGGGTGGGCGCAGGAAATCCTCCTTCTGAGCCGCACCTGACAGGAACGGCCTTGCGAGGCCTGGGCTGGCCTGTGGGCTGGCCCCGGGCGTGTTAAGAGCTGTTTTCCCGCTGTCCAGCGCTGCACAAGTGCACAGATGCCCCAAATAACTGAGTTGTTTGCTGGGAAGAAGGTAGAAGCAGAATTTTCTTAGAAGGCAAGTGCTGTATCTTTATAAGCAATGAAGAGCCAGTGTCTGACTCAAGATCAAAAAGAAAAGAGCTTTAGGACTAAGTGTCTTCAAAAGTGGCATCAGAAGACAAGTTCTGTGGCACTGTCACAAAGTTGTTGATTTTATTTTCCTTTTCTTCTTTCTCATGGAGAATGCCTCTGTTGTCCACACCAGCCGGGCAGGAGCAGCCCAATACAGGCAGCTCCCTCAGAGCAGGGCAGCGTTTCTGACCTCAGGACAACCTGGGCTYGCTGCAAGATGCAGAACACAGATACCAAGGACAGACGAAAGGATCATTTTTCCTTTAGYTGTAAATTAGGAAAGTGCAATTAAAACACTAAACTTGTGTTTTCCATTGGCTGTTCGGACTTGCTGGCTAGAGTGGGGGATTACCACATCTAAAGACCTTTTTTCAGCTGTTGCACCCTGTCAGAAACTTTGTAACACTTACCTGTATTTTGGTGATTTTTTTTCCATAGCTTTCTTAAGAAGTTATAAAGCACGTTTTATTATATACCTTAGTAGTGATTGAGGAGAAATATCACTTTATATTTGGATATACTTACGTAGTCATAAATCTAAGTCCATCTCCATTAAAATACCTGATAAAGTGTGGTACAGCTCTTTTGCTGAAATGGAATTACTTAGAGACATATCAACTCTTGTGTGATATTTCCCTACTCTGCTGCTGGCAATTCTGTGTTCCTATTGCAGATTTCTCTACCTGCTGAATGCCATGTATTAGACATAAATGTGTGGTTTGCTGTCGAGCTGTGCTTGTGCTGTGGCATCTTGAGCAGCAGGGTAGCTCTGTGTGCTGTCACTCGGCTGCAGGCTCAGGCTGCAGTCTCTTGTAGCTTGAAAATTCCTGGATAATCTTGTTTGATGATTTAAAAGAACTGGAGAGGAAGAGGAGGGGTCATGTGTGTGTCTTTTGACCCTCAGAGCTTTATACACTGGGCAGTTACAGTTAGTTGGAAAAATGAAATCTCTTCAGGAGATGGAGAAATTTAGAAGGGTTGGTGACAGTGTCTGGAACTACTGCTACCACATGAAGGATGAGGAAGAACTACTGCTGYTTTATGGAATATAAAAAATTATTCCTGCAAGGAACAGGTAATGTAAGAGCCCTGTCTGAGCTGGTTCTGGCGAGAGTAGCTGGCGCTGAGGGGAAACAGAAACCTSCTGCCATAAGGTACTAGTTTGAAACCTACACATGGAGTCAGAACAGCTGGAGGGGAAACATGAATTTTAGGATCATCCTCCTGAGAACATTTTTTYTCTGTTTTGCCCTGCAAAGGAAGTATTGTCTCCAGGCTAGCTCAATAGGCCACTCARCTGGAATTAACCCTCTGATCAAGGGATATAAAAGGAAAATAAATTTGCCCTCACATTTTTGTAAGCTTGAAAATGTAATAGGTGCTCTGAGTTTTGGATTAAGCAGGTCTACTTGTAAGACAACTGAAAGAGAGTGTGCAGCACTGGAAAACCCATACAACTCTATCAAATATAGTGGGAATGAAAGCAAGACATTAGAGAGATTATTTTAAACTCTACTAAATTAAAAAATTGTGCTATATTTAGATGCTAATTCTCTAATTCAGAGGAGTAATTTTCTCCTGCATTATGCTTTCACTCAAAAGGAGTATTGCTTTCTATTAAGGTGTGTTCAGATTTTCACAAGTCTATGTATTGAGAATTTTAAATAAACATAATAGTTCTTAAGAGCATTTGAACTAGCACATTGCAGGRAGGGAGCAGTATAAAAGAAATGGCATCTCTGTGTTGATCTTCAGTTTTTTAGAGCCATTCTTCCATTTCCTAGATCGCGAAATGAACAACTTGAACAAATTCCAGGTCAACAAAATCTTGTTATAGAAGCAGATGAAGACCCCCAAGCTCTTCAGTCTATATGGAATCCTTCCCATCAATGCTATTGATAGCAAGTAAGATAGTGAATAAGCTGAGCTTATTATCCCTGCCATGCTATTTCAGCCCAGGAGCAAACATTCAGCCTGCCTAGATGGCCCCAATTGAAATGGTCTCAACTGTCAAGGGGCACAAGTGTTTTTGAGAAYGAGATCAGTGCTGGCAGTTGGACTAAATTTCTGTAAGTGCTTAATGTGTAAGAATTGCCCATGATCCTTCRTAAATAGAGAATGAAACTCTCTGCTCCCACCTATTGAAATTGATTTCCTATGCAAGCAGTGAGGAGCTTTTGCCAAAGCCAACACAGGCCCTTCAAACAACCACTCAGCTGGGCCTCAGTTTTCCTGTTTGTGTGTTTCAGTTAACAGACTGTGCTGTGGAAAATAGACCACTCTGCTCCATTAAACAGCCATCTGTTAARTAGTGGGACTGTAGAGTAATAAAATCTATAGTGGGTATTTATCTAATGGGAAATGTAGAGAAAATATCCCAGGTATGAATTTAAAATTAGTTTCCCAAAGCACACTRTGCAATCTAGAGTGCTCCAAAATGTTTTTGTGTGGAGGTCAGTGTTCTCTTTTGTCCCTTCATGTCCAAACAGTGCTACTGCTGAAAATCACRCCATTATTTTCAGGCTTGCAAAGCCTAACAAGGAGGGATATTTWTAGTACAAAGCAAGACCAAAAATCTGTGGAGAGCGAGAGTTGCTGATGTAATTTTTTTGTTACATTTTGCTACATAGTGAGGATGTAGCAGATTGAAATTCCTTGCTGGGGGAACCTGAAGAGCTCTCCTAAGGGACCTCTGAAATATGATTCCCTGGCTAGACTGAAGCTGGACATGAGAAGCCTAGGTTCAAAGCCAAACTGTGCCACAGATCTGTGTTGTCATCTTGTGCAGTTTCCTCAGTCTTTTAATTATTGTTGTCTCTCTCCAGCCTCATTTCATAGCTGGGGTCACTTACATTGGTGTTTATACCAATATACTGTAAATCACCTGGACATGGAGGTGTGTTTATTTTAGCTCTCCTGGGTGCTTACCCCTTTAGACTCTCACCAGGCTTTGTCAAATACATTTGAAATAACAGGCAACTGCCAACAGAAACCTAATTTGGTTTAGCACTGCTCAGCCAGTTCCCAGGAGCTGCTTTGATACCTCATTTAAATTTCATGTTGTTTTGTATCTAGGTTAAACATGCACCTAAAACTGCAAGGACAATATAAATAAATTTTGCAAGTCAAGCAGTGTTTTCTTTACAGCAGAGGAGGGAGCACAAAGAGATTCTGTAAARCTTGACCAGGTCACCTAAAGTTGGTGCAGCCAAAAATAGAGCCATGATCTCCTGCACTCTGACACCAAGGCTCGTTCCTCCCCCTCTTCTCTCTGTAATGAAAAACCATATTCAGGGTGGTGTCACCTATCTGATGTTTTCAGGCYATGGAGTTTAATGAATATCAGTGCTATTTAAGTCAAGACTTCTGAACTGTTTTCTAAATAAGGTGCCAGCTCTTAGCTCACACTTGACAAGTTCATCYCAAAAACTACTGTTGGGAATTTTTTCCCTTTACCTGCAGAACTTGAAGTGATACCTGTAGAGTTTGCATTTACCTTTGGATTTTACTTGATGTTCAGACATTCCTGGCCTTCACCTTCCCCCTGGATAAGAAGCCTTACAAGCTGCTTTGTGCTTTCCAAGAGCTTCTGTGCTCATATTTGTCATGGTCTATTTGTCATGGTCTCACCAAGTCACAGGCTCACATTACTRCTCACTGAAACATGGTGTGCAGTTTAGACAACAGCATGTAGGGAATTTTGAATTTATAGCATTCACAAAATTCTATTTAATTGTACTTATTTCAGATAGCTACTGCAAAATCAGTCTGCATTGGCATGAGGGGTACAAACTATGGAAGAAAACTATGCAGAAAAGAATTTTGAAAGGGCCACAGAGCRTGAGAAAGTATTGCTCTAGAGATGTTAAACCTGAGATGGGGTGCACCATTATCCAGTGATGTGGTCACAGCMGTTCTTGTATTTATCTCCACAAGATAAAATGACATACAAAGGCATTTTCATAGCAGCTGTGTTCTGGTGGGTGCTGTGGTAGCTACTCTGTATGTGGAGTTATTTGAGTTCCCAGCAGCCTTGCACAGTGTATGCTGAAGTCTTTAATTACTTCCTGGTAATTACTGAGTGTGCTGGCTGGCCAAGGCTGGTATCAATATTGCACTCTGTTCTCTAAGCTGTCCTTTGCGTACTGGATACATGTYCCAGTATTTAATAATATCTAATGGATCAGAGAGCAGATAAGGGCAGATAAAAATTGCYAGTGTATTTTTGTAATCCCCTGAAACTCTTGCAGCAGCCAAACAGCATGACATTGTGCATCTTTCTTTCACGTTCTGAGGCTAAGTTACTAAAGTCATAAAGCAAGTAATACTTTCCCACCTATGTCACAGTGCTGTTTTCATRTCTGCTAGTAAGAGTCTTGAGAATTCTGTAAACTGGTTTTGTTCTCAGCATATGAAATTTGAATATTTAATTCGCAAAATAGCCTTGTATCTATGAGTACTTTTATTAAATCTCATTTCCTTGGTATATTTCAGGTCAGGGAATATTTTTTTTTGTCAGTAAAATCTGGTTTTGAGAGGGGAGAGAAAGGTTGGAATAATGTATCAGCTACTTCATTTGAAGGGTACAAAGTATTTTATAGTATCTGTGATATCTACTATAAAACTGTAGTGTTTATCTGAAAATATCTCCACAGCAGATTTCATTTAAAAGCACAGCCTGTCATTAATGGATTGACCATTTCATACAGCTTTTCTGTTCCTTGGCATTATTGGTGCAAGTTCCTTTTTAAACAACCATAAAATGAAGWAATTGCCATAAAGCTGTGCTGTAATCTAGGCTGTGCAGGACCTGCTGCTACCTGAGYCWKTTCTGTGCMTGCTGAAATCATAATCTCTGCAGGAAGAAGGTGTTTGAGTATAAATAACCTGTTTTTTTTGAAGATTCATTGTACACCATTGTTGCATTTATTACTTCTGGGCTAGAAGGAAAAATGAAGTAAAAACCATTGATGTTGGTGAAAAATAGGCATGTTTAGTGAGGTAACATACTGTACATTCCACTGGATGAGAAGGAGGRAAGAAGCTGATCAGGATGCTCCAGGTAAAAATAAAGCTCCCAAATATTAATTACTGTAATGGTATTGAGGAGGTTATCAGCTCAAGCCAGATGCCCTGACATCCACAGAGCAAGGCAGAGAGGATTATTCATTGAGTGTGAGATGGGCACAGCAGTGCAGCTGAACATTAATGTATTCCTTTCTTTTCAAGGTATCTACACCCCTGAACCGCTCTGCAATTTCTGGTGGGCTCTTTTATCCACGGGGTTTATGTTTGTCTATCATTTTAGCATCTTGCAGATCCTGGGATTGGTAAGTAAACAMAGGTTAATAAATGGATAATTTGCAAGTACCTTCAGAGTAAAAACAGTGCCTAGTTTGTCCAGGTCTACATGGGTAAGACTACTTGCATGCAAATTTTTGATAAGGCTACCTGTATGCAAAGTGCATGTTGTAATGAGCATTTGCATACCATATCTCGCAAGYATTGGTTAAATATTTCATAGATTGRTTATGTACCTGCATAAATCCATTTATTAAATACACAGTGGAATTCGGATCTGCTTTTTTTTCTGAAAGCTGCCCTACTTTTATCAAGCAAAAGTGTGTAACCCAAGCATTTTTGATTATTAGGGTAATTTTAGGTGACACAATCAGTGCAACATAAAAGCATTGTTAATTGATAAATTTATTGTTGCTTCCTCAGGTTACAGAAGTKAATTTGAACAACATGTTGTGCCCAGCCGTGTCAGATCCTTTTTATGGGCCTTGGTATCGAATCTGGGCGTCTGGACATCAGACTATCATGACCATGACTCATGGGAAGCTCGTAATCCTGCTGTTTCACAGTGCTGTCCCCACCTTTAAATGGGGCATGGACTGGCTTAGACTCCCATCTAAGAAAATAGACTGAAATTTCTGCCCAGAGTAGTTCGTACAGGAAGCAGAGATATACTGGAAAACAAAGAGGAGGGATGAGAGGACAATGGCTTTTAYTTCTTCCCACAGTTTTTTGCCTCAAAAACACCTCTGTAATCAAGTGAGGGTTTTTTTTTACCTGGTGTTTCTCACTGCCTATTGCCAATGGCAAAATTAGTGGCCTTATTCTGGGGAAGGTTTGTGTTTTATACATTTTGTATAGATTACAGTAGAATCTTGCTTAGCCACCATTTAAAATTAGGCCAGGTTCACATTCCAGCAAAGAGAGTGGCAGTGCTACCTCGTTTTGACTCATTTTCCATTAAAGAACAGTACACATGTAGGATAGGAAAAAGTGCTGAGTTGTAACACTCCACTGATAGGAACCAACATRCTGAACTGCATCATCCTGGATAAACTCTTAGAGCTTGAATGTCCCAAAAATGGTCACAAGGAACAGTGCACACTTAATCTTCCAGTCAGAAGTGCAAAACAGTGAGGTTCTACTGTATTTTCTTTAAGCTGGTTGAAAATATTGGGGAACAATAACTCAGAATTTTTTTTTAATCAAGTACTTAATTTCTAAACTGCAGTGGGTAAGTGTCTATCTAGTGAAATTTCATCATGATGCTTTGGAGATGCTTTTATTTTGGTGAGGGGAAAAAAATAATGTTGAAATTATTTCAAAAGATCATGTTATGTATAAGCTGTGATAAGATACTGCATCCACTGTTCTGTCCTGACTTTGAATAAATTTTTTTTTCACTTACCYTAGCCTGGAGAAGGAGTGGAGATCCAAAGTCCAATGTAAACAACAGCTTTCTTTTTTATTAGTAGCTTTTGAAACATTCCTGCTGTCTACGCTGATCCACCCTGGTTAGTGAGGAAACAAAATGAAACTGTTCTGTCCCTACAGCTCTGATACATCACGTGTAYTGATCTTAAAATACAGGTACAAAAAAGAATGTCAAATCAGTGCAGGCCTCTACTGCAGAGAACATGTTCCAGTTTAGTAGTGTGACTGCATCTTCCCATCAGCATGTCTTWGGGAGAACAGCATGTGCATGGGCAGAATGATCAACTGTGTGTACCTGCTCCAATTTTGCAAGAGAAGAAACTGTTGGGCAGAAAGATGGGAAATCCTGACTGTGTTCTTCCAGAATTATGAATCCATTATGAAGATTGTTGTGTTTTCAGGGCTGCAGGTTTTTCTTGTMSAGAAGTTTTCTGGAATTTATAGACTCATTGTGTTGTCAAAACTGTGACTTGTAAGATAAACCAAAACCATCATACCTCCTCCAGCTGGATCACCTGAAGGTATGTGCTAAAGTTAAGGTACAGTTGTTTATACCTCAGGAAGCAAAAGTAAGAATGASTAGCTGACTTTCTTTTTCCTTAAAAAAGAAAAAATTATCATTGATGAGGGAACAGTGACTACTTCAAATACTTTTACTCCATATGATTAAAAAAGTACACCTCATCAGAAGTACATTGTCCCATATTCTGATTTACAGACTGCTTTCTAGCTTTCTTCCATGCCTTGTGTATATCTATCTATATATATAYAAATATACTGTATGCTCACAACTTGAGAACATGCAGCAATGTACCTAAACTATCCCTCAGGCATATACAGCTGGTATTAATTAGTATTACAATAGAATGATTTTAGCCAAATTTTTCAAATACTATTTAGCATTATTATATGCTCATGTTTGGTTTTTTAAATGTCCTTTTTTWAAAATTTTTTTAAGCATCTTTCCCTTTTTTCCTATCAGAATATTCTAGTTACTGGAACCACTTCTCCAAGTAGCAGCCTTTTTTTTTCTTTTTTTATCATCCATCTCTCTTGTATCTGCTGGGAATAGGCATCAGCCAGAGCTTGTTRTATGTGCAGGATATGGGAAAGAATGGGAAAGCAGAATACTTCATTTCTATAGTAGTGTTTTGTTGTTTTTCCTGGCAGAGGCTGGTTTTTCTTTCCCCTGAATGGTTTATTTTATAGGCAGTTACACTATACCGATTTCTTTGGTTGCTTTATGCTTATTTATGCTGGRAATGAAAGCACAAAACTCTACTGCTGTTCTTGGGAGGTGATTGCATTCTCTCCTGGGCTGTTACGCACACAAACCATGTCAAGACAACTTGAAGCTGTTGCCCAGTATCTGGGGATGAGATTTTACAGTGCTGCAGTGCAATGCACAGTTGAAAGGGTTGTCCTGGGTCTCCTGGTCAAATGTCCCCAAATCCTTTGTCATGGCACCGGGAATTTCAGCAACAGTAGCTGTGGGGCTGCACAGCCAGACCCGCCATTCCCACCAGCAGCAGCTGAAGCAGAGTGTAAAATCTCATCCCAAAATGTGTTCATTTGCTGGCCAGAATACCCAAAAAAAGTGCAGTGCCACTGCCTGGCCTTCAGAGATTCTGGTAGGGATGAAGGGGTCTGAACAGGACCCTCCAATGGTTAGTACTGTAGGTGTTTCAGAAGAATCAAGGAGGATGGAAATTCATGACTCCTACTGCCATTGGCTTCATTTCCCTCCAAGTGTACCCATAAATGAAGCATTATTAGCTATAATAAACCTGTTTAGTGATGGGGTAAGTAGCCCTCCAAAGCAGAGGTGAATCAGTAACATTTCTGCTCTCCCCACCTYGTGCCATGGCTTTAGCTGTCCATGATCCCTGCAGTGCTGTTTTTCCACGGATGCAGACACTGCAGTGTCTGAACTGTGTCTATTTGTTTAATTTTTAATCACCAAAGGAGAATTTGCATCTTTTTTTTCTTTTGAAGGSTGCAACAGCTCTTGGCCACATGCTTACAAAAAGCCACAGTCTCTGAACACGCACCTGGAGCTGGTTTTGGTTCAGCTTCTTAGGGTTCAAAAATGCTGCTCATAAGCAAAGCTTACATGTGCTTGAGCAGCTGCTGCCTTGGTGAACTTGAGAGACAGGAAAAGTTAGTCCATTTGCAAACCTTGAGGTCAGAGAGTACCTAATTGTAGGTTTGTGTTTCTGGCCACAATCAGTTTTTATATTTCTGTAAAATTGAGATCATTTTGTAAAGCTTAACTGTATTTTTCAGAAATGGCTATTTGCAATTGTTAACTGAGTGTACTTTTATGTCCTAAGTTTTGCATCTAAACCAGAAGCATTTGTTTTCTATGCATCCATAGCTAATAGAAAATAGAGTTGTGGTGTTTTCTTCTGTGTTGCTATTGTTTCGAGGTGAATTCTTAGGAATTAAATTTGTGCTTATAGTTAACAAAGCTCTGAAAAGGCCAAAACCCTGGAAGAGGGTGTATGTCTGCCCTGCTGGGAGGTTTCTGCAGGCAGACAGGTCAGCTTTGATGTTTCCAATTCTATAGTGACAACACTCATAACAAATCTGTTGATTTTTGTGATCTTGTACTTCAAGTGATATTGCTGTAAATGTCTTGCAGCCGTTGGTGTAACTTAGTCAAAGCCAAGCTGTTTTATAAATGATTTTATTTTTCTTCAGGGTCAGTTTTGTACTTTTTTAAATTATTTCTGCATTTCCTGAGTCATTCTCCCAATGCTGCAGAGGACRCAGCAGGCAGAGCAGTGAGCACACCCACCCTCCCCAACCATGCTGTGCCAGGGGGCTGGGCTGGAGCACCAGGGGGGCTGCAGAAACCTGCAGGTCTGGTTACCCCACCCTCCAGTCCAGGCATGGCATTATCCAGGCACAGAATGGTTTGGCAAAGATGGAYGTGGATGGGCTCAACTGCCAGACATGCTGTTAGTTCTGAATAATTTGTAAGAGTGTTATAAATTTTGTAAACTTTTTAATGTGCTAAATCTTGGTTATGAGGTAACATTTACAAATCTGGGGTAATTTGTGTACTTGTTTTTGTATTTTGGTCTGATGGGGTTTTTTTGCTGTTGTGCCCTAAGTCCAGATCATTGGTTAAACCTTTGAATTAAAACAAATAAATGCATTTTAATGGATACKCAATAGTTTTGTTATCATTCTAATTGTGCCACACCTCAGGCTGTCTTGCTTAGGACTTTGTATAACTAGGTAAGGAAACTAAAATTGACTTTCCACTTCAATGTGTAACACTGACAGCTAAGAGTCACAGAGGCACTTCATATTAGCTCATTATAAATCAGGTAAGAGGGAGGCTCCTTTCTGAAACAGTCTSATCTTGTCTGCCTTGCACACAGCAGTTCCTTAGAGAACAGTGGTTACTGGGAGTTCTGAATTCTGAGCAGTTCAGTCYGACTGCTGCCTGTTGTGTGTCAGTCAACAGCAGTTTAGTGGCAGAGCTCACTGTAGGACAGAAATCATTTAATCACTCTTTAAATAATACCTGTCCTTGTCTTCCAGGTGCAGAGCTCAGGGAGCTGTTACAGTACAGGATGTTTTCTCCACCCTTCCACACTGTTCCTATCCAAGCTTGGGCAGTGTCCTGTAGTTCCTGTTTTATGGCACCTTAATAGAAGATGGTAGAACATGCAGAACTTTTCAGMTCCCACCTCTGTTCAGAAAGCTGCTGCAGCAGCTACAGGACTGTACTCAGCCACACACCACAGGTAGTAGTTTTAATGCACTTCAMAAATGCTTCTGCCTGTAATAAATATGACGGCAGCCTAGTTAAATGTATTCCTGTGATCCAGTACATCTCAGACAAGCAGATTATTGCCTTGTGTGAAGTTCTTGGCAAATACTGTTCCTGGGAAAAGAACATATTGCATGTGCCCACCTGTATTATTATATATCCATTGTAGAAGATTCAATTTKCCATGCAGCTGGGGAAAAGAATCAATTCTCCAGCTTAATTTCTCTGGAAGGRTATAAAGACTTCCAGAGATGAAAGAGCTTAAACAGAAATCCAGAGTGAAGCACTGTATGGCAGCCTGAGCTGCACCAAGCAAGCAATTTCCCTTTGCAGGCACTGCTGCTTATTTTCAGCAGCTCTCTACACCTAATTGAAATTCAGCCTTTCACTRTTTAATACCAACAAATATGTAAGAARCAAGTTTGTACATCTAAAACACCCYCAACACTACTGTCTTGGTTTGATTTCTACAGAACGGTAACTGGAGAGCTGGCTAMAGCAGTGAGAAGAGTGGGAAACTCRTTGTAGGAAGTTGTAACTAGCTCTGCCTTTCAAAGGCCTCAGTGTTTTAGATTAGGTTTAATGCATGTTTTACACAGTTCAGACTAATCATACCAAATCTGTGAGCCAGCTTTCATCACTGGTGTAGTATTTACCCAGGCAGGTTTCCTCCTAATCAAAGCTTCAGAGCAAGTGGGAGTAGTGGCTGCATCAGACTTMAACATCCAAAGGTTACATGGATTCTACTGCTTTGTTTTCAAAGACTTTGCATCTACAGCCAGCAGAGCTATTAAAACTRCATGAGGCACACAGAACTTGTAACATCAGAGCTGAGTTCCAGGGAGATGGAATGCTTTGTCTCAGGAATTATCCTACAGAAGAAATATGCTGCYTGTAACTCAGACTCAGTAGAAAGTGTCTCAGTGCACCAAGAATTTGGCTGAGGGACCAGAGCTCTCCAGATGAATTTTGGCATCAGCTGCACTGTGGCTTTGACAGAGAGTCTTCAGTACACGTTGCCACAAGGTTCTGTTGAAGAATCTGGCTCTGAGGGGTACAAGGGGATGTGTTGCTTACATTACTGTAACTGGTTCTACAAGGAAGTTCTGCTTCAACAGATTGAAAYCACTTCTGTCTCTCAAGAAGGTGGTCAGGCCTGGATGGAATTCCATGTGTACAGTTAGAT